TAGGATAGTGTCAAAAAAAACTTCTAAATTTATTTATTTTTTAAATTAAATATGGTTATGGTAATCAACAATTTTTTTTTTTTAATATTTAATTTAAGAATATTTTTTAAAAAATTGTTGTTACCTCATATACCGAAAATATTGAGAAAGTTTAGTGTGATATTTATTTATTATTTAAGGTGCCTCAAGAAGACCTAACGGTCTTGTCACAGAGCACCGCGGAAGTGTATTTAACCAGGAAGTTCACGCCTCCTTACCGTGACGCGAAATATGTCCAAAGTTCGTTTCGAACCTGGATCTCCTGTTAATAAAGCAAGCGCTCTAACCACTGCGCCACGGCCGCACATATTGCAATAGATATGCGGGATATATATATATATATATATATATATATATATATATATATATATATATATATATATATTAAGGCGCTCCAAAAAGACCTATCGGTTATATTACCGCTATCGGTATATTATCGGTATATTATCTCAGAGCCTCTCGGTTCTGAGCAAGACCTCTAACCACTGCGCCACGGTTGCTAATATATGCAACAGGCATTACCTAAATACATGCGTATTTCAACAGTAATTTTAGCAATTTACGTTATGTTATTCCAATATGGAACTGAAATGTTTTAATTTAAAGTTTTGAAAACGTTTCATTATAGATATTATTATATGGTTATATTTATGGTTTATAGATATTTATAAGTTCATATGAAAGAGCGTTACTTAAAACTTTTATCTGCATAAAAAAGTGGAAACTTGTATTTTTGTGAGGTAAAGTCTTCTCCCACTATATGTTTTCAATTATTTATCAGTTATTTTTCTTATGAAGTGTTTTTTTTTTTTTGGAGAATGAGATTATTTGAAACATTCGCTTTGTTGAAACATTGTAATTTAACGTCATCTACCAAAATAGATTATAAAAATATACAAAAACGCACGAAAAAAATACCACACTTATTAACATCGTTAAATTGATTAGGGAAAAGACTTAGGTTTAACACTTTATAGTTAAATATTCTAAAGGCCTGAAATAAAATTCTGATATTGGTTTCCCTGTAATATGTAGAATTATTATAACGCTCAGAATTTTTAAAAGTTTTGCTTTTTTAGAAGTTATTCGCGATAAAAAAAAGTACTAGTACGTCATTATAGGCAACCAACTACAATCTACAATCTCTTTTTTCCTCGTCATTTTTTTCTTTTGCGTTGAGTTTCTTGGATATTTGGAATAGCATTCAGATGTCCATTTTCCCTCCGTTTTTTAATTTTTTTAATTCAGTTTTAGTAGTCGCTAAAAGTACAGGAGACAACTTTTTTATACTCGATATTAACCCTTGCATTGAAAAAGAAGTGTTGTGGAGCCGGAGCCGGGGACCCGCTGTTTTTTGGTGGAGCCGCAAAAATCGAGCGGCTTACGGCTCTCGTGTTTTTTTAATATATTATATTTTTATTTTTTTTACTCTAGACAAACTTTATTCATTCATTGTTTAATATTGAATTTCTATTTTTTTTTTTTTTAATATTTTTTTTAACAGCTACGGTCTTGCCAAAACGTAATAAAAATGATTATTTTAACGATTTTGCTCTCAACAAAATACTATCCTTTTATATTCCTTTAGTATTGCTTTATTAAAAAAAAAAAGTAAATTATATATGGAAACATTACAGTATTACATATATTGCTTTATATTACATTTTTATACTGATATTATGCTGTTAAATATTTGATGAGCGATTTAATGATCAAAGGTTATAATTGTACCAATTTTCTTAGAATAATGACAAGAAGCAAGATTAGGCCAAAACTAACAGGGGATGTCGTGACTACGATAAAATTACAAAAGTCTATTTTTTATATTAATTATATTCATATATTTAAAACTATATTAAAGCATGTGATCGTTGAACTTGGAACGATGAATTTTGTTTTAAAAAATTGTCTCTAACACATTTTTAATGTATTTTTTTATTACATTCAGTAATTATAGTATTAATTATAAACATCAACAAACGAGTCAAAATGTTTCTATTAACTATATTGTCATTGAAAAAGTTTAAAAAAACGAATAAAAAGTCTGCACAACAATTTACCAAATTCTTCTGCATCGTTACTTTCAATCGCTAAAGCATCTGAACCTAGCTACTACAATCCCGTTAACTACTAGAATCCCGTTAACTACTACAATCCCGTTAACTACTAGAATCCCGTTAACTCGGACCCTGGGTAAGTCGGACTTTTACAAAGTCGGACAAATTTTCAATTTCCTTGAATTCTCTATACAAACAAAAAACTTCGCTTAACTCGGACAATTGCTTAGTCGGACAAAATATATAAACCCGTTCAGAATCCGAGTTAACGGGATTCTACTGCATTTGTATGGTCATAAAAGAATACAAGAACTCCCTATCTATTGAACGAGCAAAAGGATCTGAAAGAAAGAATGGTTTTAAGGGTAAGAAAGCAGCAATTTAGTATTCGACAATCATCGCTCAAAATCCCGGCTTATTGAACAGAGAACAAGCCAAAAGGTATAAAGCTTCAGAGTTTTTTAAAGATTATTTTTTGGCAAACAATATGCAGCTGTGGTTTGAGATCTCGAGCTTTAGTCACATGTCAACTTTAAACTCGGATGTTTACATCAAAGAATACTTGCAAGCTAGGCTTTTCAATTTTATCGAAGTCACGATATCCCCTGTTAGTTTTGGCCTAATCTTGCTTCTTGTCATTATTCAATTCAAGAGACATTAAATTCATACCAAAAAGCTTGAACCCATTATCTACACACAATTCCTTCCCATTGAGAAATTATGGGGAATCGGCAAAGGATATTTGCGTAAGAGTGGCAAAACAAAAGTACAGCTAAAGATTTGATTAGAGAGTGTTTTTAAAAGACTGTGCAGAAGTTGATGTCATCAGTTAGCGTAAATGTTCGCTATTCGAAATAATGAAAAATATTAAAATAAAAAGCACTTTTACAATCTTCAAGTTCCTTAGATTAAAATAAATATTGAAGTTTTTGCATTGGTTAAACTATTTTTTGTTTGTTTTTTGAATTTTTTTATCGCTTTGAATTTAACGATTGCATTTTTTACCCAATGGGCACGGGACATACAAAAGAGGTCTTTTAAACGTCTTTTGAAAGTTTAGGATGCCTTTTGAACGTTTTGGACTTCTTTGGGACGTTCAAAAGACGTCTTTTTTAGGTTCCGTGCCCCCTGGGTAGAATTTGAATTAAAATTTGGACTAAAAACTCTAGTTTTGGGTAAATGATATATAAAAAAAAATGTTTGTTTACCCAAAACACTTTTCTTTTCAAATATCCGGTAGTAGAGTGGAGTTATACAATAACCGTGTAATCATGAGAGTTTGTTAAAAATTAATTGCTGTAATTGGTATAGTTTTGGGTTGGCAAATGTGATCAAAAAAATGTCCAAAACTTGCGATTTTTGTTCATAAAGTTAGGAAGCCAGAGCCGAGCCGGATATTTCTTAGGAGCCGGAGCCGAGCCGTAAAAAAAACAGTCGGCTCCACAAGCCTGGTGTTGACACAGGTGGAAGCATATGATGTGGGATAGTTGATTTCTAAATGTGTTGATTTCTCAAAATTTTGTGTTTTATCAATTCTATTTAGTTCTTTTTTAGTAAAGGTGCAAACATCCAGTTTTTAAAAATATTTGGATTAAAAGGGTATATTTCGATTTTGGCAAAAACATGTACAAACAAATCGCGAGGTTAGAATTATTTTGTTCTATCTCCACATTTTTTTGTTTCGAGATAAAACGATTTAAAAAATAAAAACTTTAGGAGACGGCATATAAAAAGATTTTTATTACTTATGTTTTCTCCAAAACTTTTTTGATTTTAACTTAGGTTTTAATATAGCAGAAAAACATTATTTTGAGGTACATTACACACAATTAATAACTCATTTTTTTCAAAAAGTGGAGGTAGAACAAAATAATTCTAACCTCGCGAAATGGCTAAAGTAGAACTTTGTCGGGGATAGTGCAATACCGCGTAACTAGCATTGGCTACTACAACTGGATATTATAAATTTTTACACCAAATATCTGTTGTTGACATTACAAAAAACATGAATAATACTCTTTATACTAAAATAAGCACAATATCTGTTGAAATAATAAAAAATAATAATAAAGTTTTTACCGTTCTCTAGTAAAAAATCTACGCGGTATTATTCAACGCTAGTTACGCGGTTTTGCTCTATCCCCTTGTATCTATGCACTTTTTAAACATTCATTGTTTAAAAAACAATAAATATTTATAAACGGAAACCTGAAAATGTGTCATATCTCTACCTGGATAATTTCTCAATCACGTCTGAATTATTTGATCATAATATATCTGTAATGGATCAAAAAAAATATCATCAAGTGGTTGGACACGGTTGTAAAGCGTGCCAGAAAACAAAATATTACAAGGTCGTTTTCTTTACTTTGCGTATTCCAAAAATGCCAAGCTTTTATGAGTAATCTGGGAATCTTCTTCAGAACAGAGGAGAAGCTTCTTTTTAGTTTTTGATGCACTCGATTACACAAAATGTTCAAACCAAGAAAATCTCACTAATCATCCACACTTTTGAAAATGTTTTACAGTCTATCCATCTATGAACGCTATCCATCAACTCATTTTTGAATCTTTTTCAAAAAACTGAAAATTGATGGTACAAATATTGCATTCATTTAAAATACTACAGTTAATTATTGACCACGCTCAGCACAACTGCGTGCCTCTATTTGTTTTCGCCTTTTAGTGGACAATATTTCTTTTTGCACAGTATTTAACCCTAATTCATCAACGTTAAAAATGTTTTTAGGATGAAATTTATACTGCTCCACTATAGTTTGTAGTGCGATGAAAAAATAGTTGATGTTTTATTTTTTATTATAAGCTTGTACTTGAGCAAATAATGTATTTTCTGGTATTCTCAGTGAAATTTTTGGGTTACGTAATAAAGGTATATTTAAAAAGATAAATAATCAATTTTAAAAACGTAGATTTAATGTTTTATATATATCAATTAATGAATAAATGCAAATTTGGTATTTTATATATAAACTAAAGTGTACAACTTTTAAAACAATTTGTAACAATTTTTTTGCCTCGCTTATCCAAATCTTAAAATACATGAGAAAAATACGCAGAAAGCTACATTTCAAGATAGGGTCATTTATTTGTTCTAAACAAATTAACCTGTACAAAGATGTTGATATGAAAACAAGGTCTTTTGATATTAAATCAAAAGACCTTGTCTCCATATCAATTGTTTTTTTAATTCTTCTTTAATGGCATAACTGAATATTGTTCTACGACTTGCAGTCAATACCTGTTTCAACTGCAGCCGTAGCGCAGTGGTTAGGGCGCTTGCCTCTGAAGCTAGAAATCTATGGTTTAACGCCACCTGGGAATGTTTTATAACATCTGGAAGGAAGGAGACGAAGGAGACGAAACTTCTATATGGTTATGTAATAATTGAGTCTCAGCAAGACTAGTTTAGTGTTACAAACTTGTTTTACTAATTATACATTTTAAAATACCTATTTTAAAATTTTATAAATAAAATTTATATTTTTATATAGTTTAAACATGAAAAGTATTGATATATATTCATATATAATACAAGAAAACCTGAAGTTAGCTAGCTAATTCTAATATTTTATATACACAAAAAGGTTAAAACTCAGGGTTTCTTTTTAAATGGATTATGTAGTAGAAATAGAGCCTTAAAACTTCATAAAAATACTTAAAGTAATTTAGTAATTGGGAATGTGTTGAATTTTTAAATGCTTAAAATAATTTTTAATCAGACTGCCACATTAATATCGTTCTAGTTATAACATTGATGCTTCGAGAAAAGTTACTCAAGCTAGTAACTATGCAAAATAAGTCCGGCATTTTAGGTGTCACTATCAACCAAATAAAAAATCCATAGTACCACTACATTTGTAGTATCAAAGTACTCAATGTGGTAATTATGGGAGAAATTCAATAAAGTTATTACTTTTTCTACTTTATATTTGTTAAAGTAATAAAATATGTGGTTGCTAAGCAATTTAGGTATTCATAGCAACCCAAAGTTAAAAGTAATGTCACCATTAAAACTGCAATCTTCAAATTAGTAAATAGTGCAAAAATGGTTCTTAAATCTTTTTTATATGACGAGTTATTTGTTTTGTCCAGTAAAAGTGATTTCTGACCCATTGTACTAAGGTGAGAAGTAAACGAAAGCCTTATTTTTGACAAATCGAAATTTATATATATACTTATATATTCTGATTTTTTTTTTAGTTTTCAGAAGTTTATTTGTTCATAATAAGTAATTTTTGTTCATAATAAGTAATTTTTCTTACTAGTAAGAAAAATTACTTATTATGAACAAATAAACTTCTGAAAACTAAAAAAAAAATCAGAATATATAAGTATATATATAAATTTCGATTTGTCAAAAATAAGGCTTTCGTTTACTTCTCACCTTAGTACAATGGGTCAGAAATCACTTTTACTGGACAAAACAAATAACTCGTCATATAAAAAAGAGTATACTTAGTATACTAAGGGTGGGAAAATATTCCAAATATTAATAAACGTATCTTCCCGTGTATTAAGCACATAAAAGTAAAGGATTTTACAGCTACTTTCCATCCTTTTTTTAAACTTAACATTTATTATAACATTTAAATTGGTGATTCTTCCCAATGGTGTCTTCATTTTATTAAGAACCATAATAACTTAATCACAGAATTCTCTAAACATAATTGTAGGTAATTAGGTGAACAGTTAAAAAACATTTAAAAAAAAGGTGTATATATATAAATATATGTATATATAACTATAAATATTAGGCATTAGCCTATACGCCGTGGAATATTTTTCACCAATTTAGTTTAATGATGACATACCTATGACAACATGCGCAACTCGTCAATGTGCCATCACAGGAACAAGTCATCATTTCTATTAAAACATGCTGTCTACCTCGTTTAAATGATAACATTAAGCATTACTATAGATGCACAACAACAGTAGGGAAAATGCATAAAAAGTTCTTTTCTGTACGATTTATAATAAAGTCATAAACTCAGCTCTAAAAAAGGAACTAAAATGCCCTATTCCTAAACTAATGTTTGTTGATTATAAAAACAATATTTGTGGAAAAGGTTACGACAATGCAAGTCTCCATAAGCCAATATACAAATGCAAGTCTAATAATTTTTTCACCAGAATAAATTTCACCATAGGCGTTTTTCCCCTACTTTATATATTTGCAAATGTTACTTATAAAAAACTTTTGGAAATTAAGTTTTTCGTGGTGATTTTTGCGATTTTGAGCAGGTAACTTTTTATAATTTTCGCATTATTTTATACTTTGTTATGTGATATTTCAAAATAAAAATAACGTCTTATTACTATATTATTTTTATCATCACATGAAATTTCAGATTTTTGTAACTAGAACAGATAGTTTATAAACATTATCTCCATTATAAACATTATCTCTATTTTCTGTTTCAACTTGCAAGGTTTGATGGATCATCGTGGGTATAAGTATCAAACATAACTTAATTATCATCATTTAATATTATGTACTTTGGTATGTAATATTTGAACAATAAAAATAATTATCAATAAAACTTACGATTCGACCACATAAGATATAAAAATTTAGTTCAAGGGGGAAGTTCAAGTTTAAAAAAATTCTCTGTTTTTCAAATGGAAAAAAAAATTACTTCGTTTAAAAATTAATTTTAAATTCATAAGTTAGAACATAATATTTTGTAAAAAATCTACATTAAAAAATAATTCCTATAAATAAAATGAGATCTCACTTTCAGCGTAAATAAAAATTCAACTTAATGATGTAAATAAAAAAGGTATTTAACCTTATGACGTAAATATCTGACTTTTCATAAAATTAACGCATGTAAAAACACCACAAAAAATTCTAAAATAATTCATCAAATAATTTTAGTATAAAATAAAAACTTCTAAAATAAATAATAAAAAAATTCCCAAAAATATTTATTCCAATCGCATGTGTCATTTCCTGAAACAAACAAACAAAAAAGATTACAATCAATTTAATTTTTACAAATCATCGCGATAATGAGCCTTAAGTCTGTACATTGACTGCGTCAATACAAATCTTTTAAACTACTCAATCTAGAAACTCACCTGCGACTTAACAAACATTAACGTAAGTGCAATTTAGTTACAAAAAACTCGGTTATGCAAGAACTCGCATAAATACAAACAGGCGTACTGCCAGCCTCACACCAGTGTTAGTATAATTTGTTAAGCGCAATTACGCCCAGTGTTCTGCACATTTATTCCAATTTTAGATTAAGCAGATTCACGTTTAAGCAAGTTTTTGCAATAAACTGGTTCTTATAAAGGGGTACACTCTTTTATAGATATTAAAAGATTTGATTTTAGACTGAGTTTAATGTAAATTTTATTAAAACCAGATGTTGATAAACTTTTTATAGTAAATATATTTATACTTTGTTACATAAAACAAGCTTTAAGTGTGGAAAATATAAGCATGTAGGCAGTACTGGTTCCACGCGGAGACTTAAGGGACTATATAGTTCCAGGGCCCTAAGCTTCCGTTGGGCCCTTTAAAAAAAAGAGAAAAAAAGACGAGAAAAAAAAGCAGTAAAACTCTAAAATAGCTATTTTCGTTTAATTTAGTGTCACTTTTTAATTTTTTATAGAACTTTTTAATTTACCAAATTCTATTTCATTTTACGACAAATTTATTCCTGTGCTTTCGCATTTCTTATTTAATATTTCAATTTTTAATGTATTACGTTTATTTTGTTTTATAATAAATTAAATTACTAATAGTTGTTTATATTGCTTTCAAAAATAAATAAAAGGTGAAGAGTTTTTCATAATTAATAAAAATTTTTTAGTTTCTATTAGTTACATTTTTTCATTAGTTTATTGGTATAAAACATATATTGATTAAATATTATTTTACATATATAGTGAAAAAAAAAAGGTTAAAATAAAAAATGGATCAATGAAAATAAATTAAAAGATGAAAAACAAAAGAAAATAGAAGATGTAGCGAAATGTCACAAGATAAGCAAACTTTTGGTAAAATTTTTATACTATTCTGTTCCTGTTCCTTTAACCTATATATCTACAAATGGCTATAATATTGCTTTTTTAGAAACATCCTAAGATGCAACTTGTGATACTAGACCACTACCAGTGATAACAGAAACATCAACACCTATTACTGAAGCTGGCTCATCAATTACTACTTTGTTTTCAACATCAACTACCCAAGATATATCATTAGCGCCATCATTCTCTCAGGCTATGAAGGCTGTCTGTGATAATTTTAGCAATGTCACTACTAATGAATCATGTGTTAATATGGTAATTGAATATGAATTTAACCATATGTATCCATATGAAGTAATCATATGGATACTTGCGATACTGATTTAACTGATACTGTTTTCTTTGATGTTGGTTCTTTGAATGATGATCAGGAAATCAAAAAACGTGTAAAAGATATATAATTGACGACACGAAAAACTTCCAGCATAATTGTGATTTTTCCAAATCTGCAAAAACTGTTGGAAAGCAGATAAAATGTTTTCAACCATCAACATTTTACCTTATTAAACAAAATAAACAAAAGGTTCTATAAAAATGGATGTGTTATTCCCCAGTGAAAGGATCAGTATATTGCACCCTTTGTGTGGTATTCGTCAAAAAATTGCTTGACAACAATCAAACAATTTTTTGTCTGGTTATATAGATTGGAAACATGCACAGCGTGATTTCTGCCCTCGCAAACATTCCAAACAACATAGCGAGACTGTGGAAGCATTCTAAGAAACACAGAAAAAATTTGTACTTTTATTTTTATCTGCACTGAATGATGAAATAATCTATTGGAAAAAGGTACTCTTGAGGATAGTCGATGTGATAATATTTTTAACATCTAGAGGACTTCTTTAAGGGGTTCTGTAGAGAGGTTTGGTTCCAATAAAAAAGGTAATTATCTTGGATGTTTAGAATTGATTTCTCAGTATGATGAATTCCTTGCAAATCATATCAAACAAAATGGTAACAAAGGTAAAGGCTTGGTTTCATACATTGTAACAAATATTTGTGAAGAATTTATTGAAATTATACGGAAATCATTGTTGACCATAATTATTTCCAAGTTAAAGAAAGCAAAATATTTCTTTATATAATTAGATTCCCCTGATATTGCTTACATTGATCAATTAACTATTACAGTAAGATTTCTTGAAAGCAGCAAAGTTTGGGAAAATTTTTTGACATTCATTCCAATCCAGAAACATCATGGCACATACCTAGCAAATGTACTCTTTCAGTTTTTAGAGTCAGTTTTTAAGTCATTACTAAGACATCATGAATTGCATTGGACAGTTATATGATAATTGTTCCAATATGGCACAAAGTATAAAAGTCTGAAAACCTTCATTTTAGAAAAGAACCTAATAGCCCTATTCGTGCCATGTCATGGGCATTCTTTAAATTTAGTTTCACACTCTGCTGTTGAGTCTTGCTTCATAGTGACAAATTTTTGTATGCTAATCTAAAAACTTTATTCATTCTTTTCGGCAAATACAAAAAAATGGAATCAGTTGAAATTACCTTTGACATTGAAATCATTAAGTAATACTAGATGGGACTGCTCATGCTAAGGCACTTGATGCAGTGCTAAAGGGATTCTCTAACATAACTGATGTTTGAAATAAAATTGGTTCTGATTCTGATAAAAAACCTATAACAAAAGTAGAAACAATTTCAATAAAGGATCATCTATTAACTTTGGAAACTGGTATCCTCGTTTTTTAAAATTCGGATTTGGAAAGATTTAATAAATGCAGTAAATATCTTCAAAAAGTGTACCTTGACTTAAATGCTGCTGCATAACTTCTAAAATCCCTCAATGAATTTGTTTCAAATAAACTTTGCATGGTCATAAATTTCCCATAATGTTCTTAGGCCTTCGTCATCCCAATATTTTTCAAGGCCTCATCATTTGGCATAGGTATGAACATACTTAAGTTTGGAGTTTTGCACAATGTGTGAAAGTGTCCTATCTGAAACATCAAAAAACCTGCGGACATCCAAAGATGAGGTTGATTGTGAAATTGAAAGGGTAGTTTTGTAGTAGATTTTTCAGATAAGGTTGATTGTGAATTCAACAAGGTTTGTAGATCTTTCAGATGAAGTTGATTGTAAATTTCACAGGGTAAGTAGAACTTTCAAATGAGGTTGATTCTGAATTTCAGAGGATGTGTAGATCATTCAGATGAGGTTGATTCTGAATTTTACAGGTTGTGAGGTACTTAAAACAATATCGTTCTATAAAAATGGTCTGCAATATGTATAAATGGTCTGTACAAATGGTCTGCAATATGAAATTAATTTTTTTTTGTAATTGGTTTAAAAAACAGCTGTCGAGTTAAATTGTCATTTCTTTAAATATATTTTTATAAAATATTTTATAAAATGTTTATATATAACATCATCTGATAACTGATTATGTTATTTGTAAGTTTATAAGTTTTTAAAAGACCACACTTATCCAAAAATATTTGTCAATGATTTTAGTTGTCAATGTTTTTAGCTGTCGATGATTTTATTTGTCAATAATTTTAGTCGTCAATGACAACTTCCAAACATGTGCTAAACTTCAAACTTTGTATTTTTATACTGTCAATTAATAATATTTTTTTTAAGAAAAATTATTATAATTAGAGATTAGGACAAAAATACCCCCCACCATGTATTATTAAATTAAATCAAAATTTATAAATAGAATTCAAATTCTATCAAAAAATATTTTGGCATTTTGAAGTGTTGACAAAGCCCCTCAATTAGGGAGGGAGTTGCTTAAATCGTAAAAAATTGATTCAAAAAAAAATTTAAAATACTCAATAAGTACTAATAAATACTAAATATACTCATAAGTTTTATACAATGGTTCATCAAAGGATTTTTTAGGTATTTACAGGTTGATTGTGAACTTCACATAAGTGAGTCTCAAATTAATTATTAAAAAGCAATTGAGTTTGAGTTCAGACAGATACAGAAGTGAGTTAGAGTTTGGACAGAGTTAATAAAGCTAGAATTTGGATAGAGTAAATTAAACTGATTAATTTGAGGGCGTTTTCAAAAATAAATTTTACAAACTCAAGAAACAACAAAGTAGCAACAAAACTTTAATATTCTTTATATTTTCGATGTTCATACATCTACTGCTGCAGAACTAACTCTTATTTTATACTATCACATACTACTATCATACTATTATTTATACTATTATCTTATATCTTATGTTGCATATTATTATATTATATAAAAATAACTATTGTTAAATAATTATTATAAATTTATGTACCAAAAAAAATATATTACAATTTTAATACCTTCTATATGCAAAAACAACTCTGTTCTCATCATTATGAAAGTCGTTAGGTTGATTACCAGGAATGAGATGTGGAGCATAGTCTGTCATTATAACAGAAGGTTCCTAAAAATTTTAAACTCTTTAAAACATTTTAAACTACAAAACCCAGTAATTTTGAAAAATTTTTGCCAAATTTATCTAGGGTTAATTTACTAAAATTACAGTAAAACTTATCTTAGGGTTAATTTACTAAAATTACAGTAAAATTACAGTAACCTCTATGATCGAAACTAACTTATTTTATAACCAAACTATCAATTTGATATTTTGCTTAAATAAATAAATTGATATTTTGCTTAAATAAAACAAAAAAAACTTACACTCTCAACTTGATTGTTAGCTTGTGGATGTGAAATTTGCCAGGAACTTGGCTGAGAAAAGCCACCCGCAGAATTAATAATGTATTGATTGACTCCACCATGTATTTGCATTTGGGCTAATTGATTTGATAAATGCGCAATTGGTTGTGGCATTGAATGTGACATTGAATTAGCCATGCTGTCAATAGGAGGGCTAACCAGCTGCAAAATAAAATCAGAAAACCATAAACATTGTATATATATACTTTAAAATATACAAATTTATAAATCAACTCCAATAAATAAACAGTATAATATTTGGTCAAACTTACACCATTAGGAGAAACTGCAACTGCATATGAATGTGGAACAGGCCAGTTTGGAATCTAAAAACATTAAACTAAAACCTTGAATTTTAAATACAAATATAAAACTAAAATAATTCAAAAGTTTATAATAATTTGAATTAACATTTAAAGTTAATATTTTTTAAAATATGAAAAGCTAAATATACAATAAGATATACAATATTTCTTGAACTATATAACTGTAAAAAATTATTCTTTTTAATCTTCATAAATTTTATATATTTATTATAGATATTAGGGTGTCCTAGAAAAAATCTTTTAAATGCTCCCTTTTAAAAACCCTTTACAAAATTGACTTTTGGTAAGTTATTACAATAAGAAAAAACTTCATGGGAAATGTTTTAAGGGTCCATCAGATATTTTGAAAGAAGAACCCTTTCCAAAAAAATATTTCTAAATAGCAACAAAATTTTCTGAACAATGCTTGTTCAATAAATCTAATCTGAAAAGTTCAATATATTTAAACAGCGAACAATGGACTACCTTTTCATATGTAACAAGCAATTTATACAATAGTATTTATATAAAATAACAATTTATATAGTATAAAACTTTAGTACAAGACTATTACAAGTGGAAATTCAGTGTCTTATGAAATGCTTCCCAATTCTCAACTAATTGTTCAAAGTAACTTTCATCAGTTAAATCTTACCTCTTGTAAAATTTTGTAAAATTTACCACTTTGTTCTTTGGGAGACTCATTTAAACTTGATTGTTCCTTCTTCAGATCTCAGTATTGATGGCTACTATCCTTTGATTCGCAAAAATTCTAATAGTAACATGCCTGGCTTTGGGGTATACGTAAGCATCAATTTGCCTGTTTGTTAAGAAATCAGGTTTGAATCCTCTGACCATTCTATTATTTGTTCTTCTATCACCTTTTTCTTTATTTTTTTATTGTTCTCCTTCTTCTTTAATTAAAAAATTTTTCACAAGAACTAAAATTTTATTAGGTAATTGCTTCGAGTTTAAACCAAATGTTTTTTAATGCTAACATTTTTATATTAGCAATTTTTTTACCATGGTGGAAATCAAAATATCTTTTAGCTGCTCAATGTTTCTTTCATACATTTCTACTCACATAATTAATTCTCTGATTGCTAACTATTCATATAATTTAACTATTGATATACATAATTTGTATAATAAAACATAAATTACATACTGATACACATAATTAAATTTCTGATTGCTAACTATTCACATAATTTATCATTTTTGTAATTGGATATTCTTTGTGTATCAATGATTATAACAATTATGAAGATTTGATCATATGAATCTAACTACCTTTTTTTAATCAAAAAATTAATTTCTGGTCCTAATAAATACCAAGTACAAACTTGCAAATAAAAACTATTGAAAGAAAAAAGATAAACATTTCTAATTCATAATAATTACAAATTTTTTGTAAAGTAAATTTTGTTTACTTTTTTAAAGCTAAAAATTCTTTCAACTTTTAAATAAACAAAAAAATTATTTAACAAAATTTCTTTGTTGCAAATTCTTTAGACCACTAATCTTCTTATTATTCTTAGAAGTTGTTATTACAAAAGTTGTTCAAAAATAAAGATATTTAATATTTGCTTAAATATTTGTAAGAACATTTTGAATATTTGGTAAAAATGAAAAATTGTTTTGAATTAAATTTTCAAGAACTTTTATTTTTCTTATGAAAATAATAAATTACAGATAAACGAACAAATAATAAATTGATAGACAGCACAAAATATAATTCTCACAGGATAAGAGACTCCTATTGAACCACCATTTTCATGAGATCCCATTAAATCACCAAGTCTACGCTTCATCTTTTGATAAAAAAAAGATATTTTCAATAAAATAAAAATTAAAGATAGAACACTAAAAAATATTTGAGAAAATATTAAAAAATTAGAAAGTACCATATAAAAATAAAAAAATAAAAAAACTACCATTTGAATAGCAGCTCGCGCAGTACCACTGTTTATAAAAAAAGTTATAAAAAAATGTAATTATAACAAAGTTATGTTCTAAAAATCTTTCACATTTTGATCAAATTAATTTTTTACATTTTTAAACTAGAAAAATATAATAAAATATAAATTTAATAAAATATAAAATACATACAAGGAATTGTTTCTTATTTCATTTTCCATAAACGCCTTCCATGGATCTGGAATATTTGTTAAAAGCAGTTAAAGTATATCTTATTCAAAAATTTTAAATAAAAATATTAAATTAACTCCTAGTTATTCTTTTAGTTAAACTTATTTAAAAGATAAATTTTAGCTAACTAACTTTTTAGGTAACTAAAATTTTAGCTAGCTAACTAGGGGGTAAATATTCTTCTATCTAATAAACTAGGTAATTTTAAATAAAAAAAAACTATAAATTTCCTAAAACTTATGTTTGTCGAGTTAGATCTAATTCTCTTACGCTGTATATTCATTATTAAAAGTTTATTCAAAAATGCTTATTTGTTTGAAACAAACATCATAACAACCTCTTACATTCACAATCCTACTCTTTTTCATAATGGTATCAACTTAGAGAATATGGTTGTTCAAATGTGGGTGAAAAATGAAGATATGCATTGTCATTGCACCAGAAGAAACTATCAACCTTAACACAACAATAATACTGACCAAAATTGATGAAGAGTATGGAAAAGAGAAAATTTGGATTGTAAGTTGTGAAATACGTAAAAGAAACTGACAAAAACAAATAAACATTATATATTTATATATATATATATATATATATATATATATATATATATATATATATATATAAATAATAATGTATATTAATGTATAAATATTATATATATATACATTTTAAACTTTTTGCAAAGCATCCTTATTTGACATAAGTATAAATATATAAATGTTTGGAGTTTGCTCCATGTTTAGAAATTAGCAATCTCAAAGATTTAAAAATGCTGGATCCGCCCCTGATATATATATATATATATATATATATATATATATATATATATATATATAAATATATATATATATATATATATATATATAATAATGTATATTAATGTATAAATATTATATATATATATATATATATATATATATATATATATATAATATATATATATATATATAATGTATATTAATAATATATATTATTATAGTTATACTTTTCTTAATATTAATGTATAAATTATAATAACTTAATGATTTTAAATCATAATAACTATATTTAGTAAAAAAAAAAAAAAAGCAAAAATATAATTAAAAAAAATTATTTTACAACTTTCTAGAAATGTTAAGTTATCTGTACCAAAATATTGTATTGTTTATTACAGTTATAAATCCATAACATATCAAAGGAATAAAAGATTTTTAATCTAAAGTCTTAATTCACTAACTTGTTAAATTACAGAAAAATTTGTAACTATATTTTATGAATATATCTGTAACAAAATATCGTATCGTTTATTACGGTTATTAATCCATAAAATGTCAAAGCATAAAAACAATCATTCCCACCTAATGTTATTCACTCTAAAAACTTAAAACTGGACTCAAACTTATTATTCATTATCTTAATTTTGAGCTTTTATTTATTTCATAATGTTCCCTTTTTTGAATATGTTGTAATACAAATCTTTTTTTGAAAAATTGTTTATTCTTCAATATAAAATTTATTAATTCTTCAAGATGTTTTAAATTTGTATTTTTGAAGTTTATCAACATACTTCATTAAACATTCCTTTTTAAGTAATTTAAAAATTACAAAAAACACACCCTACCGTGTTTCATTTTCTTTTGTCCTCCATCTGCAAATTTAATGAACAATGGTTCATTGCTACCTAAGATAAAAGTATAAATTGAATCTTAAAATAAAAAATATTTTTTTGGCACTGAACTTACTTCATTTTAACAAACTTTGTAATAAATGCAAAATTTTATAAGGAAGTCATTTCTCTCAACAAAATCAAGTGCTATAATCTACATAAGTGCTAATAGTTTTTTTATGAATAAACAAAAAAATAGTCACAATACACTTGTGCACATCACACTTGTGCACATCACACTTGTGCACATCACACTTGTACTTATGCAGATTCCCACTTAATTAGCCTCCAAATTTTTATTTGTTTTTATTTTAGTTCGGCTGTCTTATCTTGTGATCTTAGTGTTGATGGTTAACTTCTTTTAATTCGTAAAGACTCCAATAGTCACATGCTTGGCCTGGGCATTTACATTTGTAAGAATTCACCCATTTGTCAGGAAACTAGGTTTGAAATATAAATATAGAATACTCTTTTACGTGCCTTCGTTTAGCACCACTTCACACTATTGTCATTCTCTTTGTTCAATCGCTCTCCTTCATCTCAAGACTGCACTCTTTTCTATGTTAATTCTGATAAAATTGACCAAACCCTCTCTCTATATTCATCAGCCAATATCATTGTTGCTGGTGACTTTAATGCTAATCACACTGAAGGTCTTGGCTCTAGTGTCAGTGACTCTGCAGGCATTAAAGCCCACAACTTTTGCCTTTCTCAACAACTCAAATAGTCAACTTTCCGACTTGTTTTTATTTACCTTCAACAACCTGAATCATTTACCTTCTCTACTTGACTTATGTCTTGTTTCTGGTCCTAGTCAGTGCTCAGTTTCTCCACATTCACCTTTTTTTTTTGTTTCTGATCACAGTTTGATCTCTCTAAAACTATTATCTCATTCTTCTTCATCATCAGAATCCCCCTATCATCATAACTCTTACAACTACCTTAAAGCTGACTGGGAGTCTTTCTGTGATTTTCTTTGTGATGGCCCTTGGGTAAAAATCTTCCTGCTGATAAATGTGCTTTTTACATAACTTGGATTCAGGCTGACATGAAATCTTTTATTCCCTCTCAACGACTCCAAGTCAAGCCTCACTCCTTGGTTTACTTTTTGCTGCTGCAATTTCCAATTGAAACCATTACTTCCATATCTATCAGAAAAACAATTCTCCAGAAAACAGATGCCTGTTTACTATTGCTAGAAACCATTGTAAAAAGGTTTTGTCTACTGCCAAAGCCAATTATTCTCAGGTCATGAAATTTTGTATTTTATCTCAAAAATTAGGCTCTCCTGACTTCTAGAGAACCTTTAACAGTACCAATAATAAGGGCAAATCTGTTATTCTATTACTCTTGTATGGTTCAGATTTTGCCATCTCACCTAAAGACAAAGCTGAATTGTTTGCTAAGAACTTCTCATCAATATCATCTATTGATTCTACTAGTTGTGTTCTATCTGATATAGCTGACAAACAGGTTAATTAATTGCTTGACATTTGTATTTTTCCAGCTTCTGCATCTAAAGTGATTTCCTGCTTAGAATCTTCTACAGCTTGTGGTCCGGTCAACATACCTGTTATAGTCTTGCAGAAGTGTTCTCAGGATCTGTCGTCTATACTTTCAAAACTATTTAACAAGTGGTTAAATAGTTTTAAAAGGATAGACGTTAAAGGTCAAGTGCTACAAAAATTCTTATTCGCCTAGTTTTTTTTTAGATGAAGGAAGCATATTTTTCAAACATCAGTTCTTTGGAATTTACTCCATCATTCATTCATCTTGTTTTCTTGATTAATATAATTTGCAATCTTTAAATTTATCTGTTAACCATTATCTTGGTTTTTAAACTTCATCTTTTCTCTTCCAGTAACTTCTAACTCTAATAGTGGTTGCTTGCAGCCTTGTTGAAAGTAAAAATTAAAAAAAAAATTTTAATTTGTAATGCAACAAATATTCAATTTATTTCAAATAAGCATAAATAAATATGTAGAGAAAATAATGTAAGAAATTATGTAATATAACACAAGTTTATATTACATGGCTACTTCAAATAAAACTTTAACTGTTAGAGAAAAAGTGTTAAATTAAAAACTTCAAATTAAACCTTACCAGTTATAGAAAAAAAAAAACTGTTAAAAAGTTATTACACTATAATTCTTATATTAAATGTTAACAAAAAACTCACCATCAAAATAATGATTATTTAATTTTGCAATTATTTGCTCGCAAATTTCTTTTGTTTCCATCCTACATTAAATACAAAGAAAGCAAAATATATTTAATTTTGCCTTAATAAAACGAGGTTTAGATATTTAGCTCAAAATAGTTAATTATTCAATAATTCAAATATCATGGTTATGATGTGAACTGATGCTATATTAGTGCAGAAGAGGCTCTTTTGGTAATATTAACTTAGGAGAAGAAAACTCTAAAATAAAACCACCGATTTAATTGCAGCCAAGGTTAGAAGGATCTTGTAAATGGTCTGGAGTGGTATATTTTTGAATCTTTGGTCAAAAGTGAAACTAAGTTGCAGTATCATAATAATAATACTCAAAATCTGAAATTTTTGAAAAAATCAAAAAAAAAAGAAAAAAAAAAACATTTAGCACTAAAATGAGGAGTTGTCAAAAAATTATTTTAAGTTTTTGCCAGTGTCCTATTTTAATAAGAAAATAGCATTATGGAAACCTGTTCAAAGTACACAAGTGTAGAATAATAGACGGTTTCATGTTGTGTTTTCTTTTTATAAATTACTATTATTAGGCAATGCCATCTTCAAGAAATACTATTTGAAAGTTTTTTTGTGTTTTTTATTGGAGTGTATTTAAATGTTGATGTTACTAAAGACTTACAAGAAACAAAGCTTGTAAGTACTTTATTCACTTTTTTTTTTTTGCTGTTAATGTTGTTATCTATGATAAGAAGATTTTAATAATAGTTCATTTAACTCAAATAACAAACTTCAATTATTTTTTAATTAATAAAAGTTTCATTAGTTATAATACACCTTTTGTGTATGAGTGCATATATATATATATATATATATATATATATATATATATATATATATATATATATATATATATATATATATATATATATATATATATATATATATATATATATATATATATATATATATATATTATACATTTTTTTAGCACAAAATAGGTAAAACAGTTGAAAAATAAGAACAACATTTTTTATAAAATTTTCACATTATAAAAAACCATATTTTTAACAAATAAAACAACAATACATGTTTCAAATAATTCGTTGGGTTTAAAAACTTATTTAATTTTATATACAAATATTCTATGGTAATTTGTATTTAATTTTCTATTTCTAGTAAGTAATTATCTATATATGCATACATTTATGCATGAGATATACACATTAACACATATATACATACATTATATACATACATTTACATTGTTGTGGTGACAAACTCTTGAGTCTACATTTGCCCAGATTAAATAGTCAAAAGGTGACAAATCTGGAGATCTAAAAGGCCTTTTGAACTCTTTTGATAAGTTTTTTAGCAAGTTTTCCTGGAGTCTCTATTGGTCTTATGAGTAATGGGGGTGCTCCACCTTACTTAAACACCACACTGTTGTCTGGAATGTGGTGCACATCTACCCAGGGCTTGACAGCTCAATTTACAGCATTCAAATGTAATCATAAGGATTGACTTTCTGACCAGATTAAATAAAAAAACTTTGAGACCATCAGTAGAAACAAGGCCAAATATCCAAACCGAAGCCAGATGTTTGGTCTTGAATTTATACTTTACATGCTCTGAAACTGCTTGGACTATTTGATGACTAATAAAACAATTGTTCTGCTGACATCAACACTTTGAGAAAATAATGGTTGTAGGTTTTCAATTTAATTTTTAATTCAATTTAATCTATTTCTTCAGAATTAAAAGTTTTTTTGGTCTTTTATTTATTTTTTCTTTGATACTTGGGGAAACCAGGAGTTTTTTAAATTTGGCTCTTGACTTTGCCATTAGATTCTTTCAAACCACATTTTCAATGGTGTGCTCCCTCATTGAGAGCTCTTTAGCTGAGAAGTTTTGTACTTAATTTTAATTGAGGAGTTGGAATGGAACCTCTTTCAACCTCTGTCAACAATAACAAACTATGTGCGTAAAAAAAAAACTTATTTTGAAATTACCAAACTTATTAAGAGAGTTGCAGTTGCATAGGGTGTGTGTATGTATATATATATATATATATATATATATATATATATATATATATATATATATATATATATATATACATACACACACAGTTGCATAGGGTGTGTGTGTATATATATATATATATATATATATATATATATATATATATATATATATATATATATATATATATATTTATTTATATATTGTATGCTCCAGGTTTGCTGACAGAGTGTGCAGAAAAAATATGCAGATAATCGCTGGGACCTGTATTCAGGGAGCTTGTCAATTTATGGGAACAGGCTAGGTTTAACGATGACTTTATTGTGACCAAGCAAACTATAAAGACTAGAATCACCAAGAAGGTCAAAAAATACCTGTATAGGGGCAGCTACAAAATGAAGATGAATAGTTTTTTGAAGGAGAGAGGAATGGTCTGTTCTCTACCAGATAGAGATTTTTTGATAGAGTGCTCTCTTCTCTATTCATAAAGCAAACATTTAATCAAAAGTGATAGAAAAGCCAACAAAGTTAGAAAAATGATAAAAAAATTTTAGAAATTGAAAGCTCCAAAGAAAGTGATCAAGGCAATGCCATTTAAAGAATACTTGAATGTCTGATCATTTAATGAATGCTTGAATACTGAGATGACTGATCAGAATATTGAATTGTGTTCTGACACAACACCCATTAACACTGGGAAAAAAAAAGGTGCCATAAGCATTATTATTTCCTATGTCCTAGGTAAACCAGTTTTTTGGTTAAAGTGCAGACATTATCTATAAAAAGTACGTTGGTCATGTTATAGAAGAAATTTTATTACTTAAAGGTGGCCCCAGCAAAAAGCTTTATGTACCCTTGTAAGGAAATTTTCCAGAGAAGTGTTATTACAGGTATCTTTATAGATGGATGAATTGGAATACATTGCCAATGAACAGCAATACCTTTCGTTCTTGCTGTTTGAGATCTCCAAAGAAAATAAGGAAGTTTCCTAGTCTTTTACTTTAGTCTTTTACTTTAGTCTTTTACTTTAGTCTTTTACTTTAGTCTTTTACTTTAGTCTTTTACTTTAGTCTTTTACTTTAGTCTTTTACTTTAGTCTTTTACTTTTTAATGAGTGTAAGAAAACTTGCAGTTGTAAATGCAAGTTTTCTTACACACATCAATTTATGATTTCATTGAGAGAACACACAATAAAGACAGGCTTCTGGATACTGCCCAGGTATTCTATTATATAATACAGAATATAAATGAGATTTTCTAGTAATTATTAAAAATATTGGTAGTTGATGTATGAACAATATTTTAATAAATTTATGTATTTTGATGTAAACTGTCTAGTAAAATAACCCTTAAGCAAATACTTAAAGACAAAAAGATTTGAAATTAAACTTAAATCAAAGATAATATTTAAAAAAAAAAAATTATACTAAATTTCTCTTCTGTAGATGACTTGCAAATGTTTACATTCTCGTTTGCAAAAAAAGATACCCGCATACTTTTTATCACTTATAAGCAGAACTTTTTATCACTTATAGGCACACTTTTTATCACCTGTAGGCAGAAAAAACAAATACTCTGAAATTTTCCAGTAAAAGCATTGTGATATTTGTATGTTCTATTAGGAAATTTATTCAGTTTTATTTTTTAACAAGAATTAAAATATTTCAACAAGTTGTTGTGTAGCTAGATGCTCAAAAAGATGTGAAAACTGAATTTGGATTTAAAGTTTATTGAGTTTATTTTGGAAAATCAGTTATTAAAAGTAGAAGATGTAGAAACTGAATTAACACTAAGAGATGAGCCTAATCCATCTAACTTCATAATTCCAATTTCTAGTTCAATCTAAAAAAGAGAAATGAAAAGTATCCTATAAAGCTTTATGTAAAAAACGACCATTATTTGACCATCAATCATATGCAATATAGATCTTGATAACTATACTGAGAAAACACATGAAACCAAACCAAATAATAATAAGTCTACTATTTCTAAACACATTATGACACCAAACCACTTAATAATAAGTCTATTATTTCTTAATATTCTCAACAAATAAATTATAAAGCAGAATTTTAAACTTTTTACTTTCAATTTATAAAACTTAATTGAATTTATTGAACTTGAAAAAATAAACTTGAACAAAGTAAACATATTTCATACTAAAATCTAACATCAGACAAACAAAAGAATTTTTTTTAGTCTTATCTTAAAGAATGTTAATGTCCTCTTCAAAAAACTTAAAACTTGGTTCACATGCGATTGTTGTTAGAGGACCATTTTAATATTGTGCTTATAAAGCTAAAAGTCTTTTAAATAAAGTCTTTGATGGACTTTATTAAAGTTTTTCTGCAGTCCTGTAATAGCGTAATATCTTAAAAAAAATAATTTTCTGCTAGAGTAGGTAATCTGATTTTTGGCCAAATTGTGAAACAATAAAGAAACAAAAAAATTTAAAGACTGAAGTTTTTATTGCAAGAAATTTTTTTTGACTTTACACTACTTGGTTCAGTTTCAAGCAAACTTGGTTCAGTTATAAACATATTGATACCATTTAATTTGTAACTGGTATATAATAAAAAACAGCAATTATTTGCTGAGGCAATTAATTTATTATGGGTATTAGACAGATTACTAAATCAAAATGAACTTTTATCAGAAACTTAAACCTAGTTGCTATATACTTGCAGACAGAGTATGCTGATTCCTATTGTTTACTACTTTTATTTGATAACCATTGTGTTTCTTTTATGTAAAATATTTTGACTGTATCTTTAGGTTACCATATTTATTAATTTGCTAAATAAAGTCTTCTATACCAGCTTCAGTTATAATTTACTACTATTAATTTACTGCATAGAGGATTCGATATTAAAGATGCTATCGAAGCATCATTAGCTTTTCCATAAGAGTATAATTATCTGGAGGCAAAGTAATCTAGACAGTTTTCTAATGTTCATACATGTGGATAGAGGAATTTGATGTATAAAATATTTCTTATTATTTATTTGATTGTATGGATCACTCAATTTATTAGATAAAACCAATTGTTAATATAATAATGCATTTGCTTATCTTAATATGGGTGTAGTTAATTAATGTAAATGTATATTATCAGGGCGGCCAGCAAACTTTCATGTTCATTTTCCATTAATTTTCCCTGACTCTAATAAAAATTACCTGATTTTCCAATAAAATCAATCGAAATTTCTTGAATTTTGCACAAATTGTTTAATTTTCTGAATTTTGCAGCATGTCCATATTTTCTATAAAGTAACTTATAGAGAAACATATTTTACAGATTAAATATATTTATTTAATCAAAAAAATAAATTTAGATAAATTTAAATATATTTAAAGGTGGATTTAAATATATTTAAATAGTAATAATTTGTCTTTTTTTTTTTAATTAATTAAATTTTTATAATGGTATATCTTTTCCGAAACTAGGTCTTTTGATATGCTGTAAACTTTCCTAACATTTTCTATTGAATTGTCACTACTTATGGTTACAATTAGTATTTTTAAAATATTCCACTTATGATGTTATTTATTAAGTTTCAAAAAAATTTCAAAAAGAAAAATTTAAAAAGCTTATAAGAATTTTGTTGTGTTGTTTTATGAGAGCCACCTGAATTTAAAATTTGTAGAAGAACTACTTGAAATTTAACGAAAAGAAATGTGAAAAATACTTGTTTATGTGTTTTTATATAATAAACTTGTGAATCTATTCTGCCTACAAGTATGCGCGCACATGTTTTAGACTTTTTGTTATTTTCTGACACCTCATTTTTATAAACAAATTTATATATCATTATTATTTTATTGGAGATTTTTAAAATTTTATATAACTACATTAGAAATATTTGTCCGAAATTTTAACATAAAAATGTGAAGAAAAAAATATTGTGAAGATAATTTTAACATAAAAATGCGAAGAAAAAAATATTGTGAAGATAATTTTAACATAAAAATGTGAAGAAAAAAATATTGTGAAGATAATTTTAACATAAAAATGTGAAGAAAAAAATATTGTGAAGATAATTTTAACATAAAAATGTGAAGAAAAAAATATTGTGAAGATAATTTTAACATAAAAATGTGAAGAAAAAAATAATGAAGATAAATGAAGATAAGTGAAGATAATTTTTTACTAGAACTTGAACAGACAAAAATTTGTTTTAATAATTTGCATCTATATATTTATCATATGCATGCATCATGTTGCATATCATGTTGCACATCTTGATGCACAATATGATGGATGCATATCTAAAGACATAAAATTTATACATTCAAATAAAATGACTATATGTTGCTAAAGTTAAAAAAAAAACAATTTGTACTTATCAAACTTTTATTTATCAGCTAAAAATAGTTTTTTTTTTAACCAAATTAAACTTTTTAACAGATAAGCATTAACAAATGGTTGTTTTTTATCAGCAGAGAAAAATGTTTCTATCAGCACATAAGTAGGTAAAAACCATAGGTAAATATTTATCTTTAAAAGATTTTCAAAAAAAAAATAAACCTTGCAAAACCAACACATTTACTTTCACCATTAGAATCTCTTAAAATTCTAGTGGAAATCACATTACCATGAGAGGATAGCAAGTGTTGTAGTTGCTAATAAAAAAAATTTAGTAAATAAAAAAAAGTTTTGATTGAATCTTTAAATAAGATAAAAGTAAATCCCTTATGTTAGCAATTTAAATAATATAGTGCTGTAAAAAAAATTAAATAATTCAACATTTGTTAAAAAAATGCTGGTTTAGTTTACCTGCTCATCAGCTTGTTTTGGTAAATTAGAAATATACAAATTTGTAGGGTCTTGCTCTTGTTGCTGCAAAAATATTTTATTAACTTAATGTAAAATAAATTTTTATATCTTTAAACTAAATTTCTTTTTTCTTAATTTGCTAACAGTGATATAATATTGATTTAAAAAAATTCTTACTTTAGCCATTCGAGCATGGATACCTTTACTTTGAAGTGCTCCAACAGCTCTTTGTGCTGAAACTGGGTTATCAAAATCAACAAATCCATAGCCTAAAAATAAAAATTATAAAATTCTTTTAAATTTTATTATTTATTATTTCAATAAAAAACTGGCAATAAAAATAAGTGATAAACAAGAATGGTAGTCAGGTTAACAGCTTTCTCTATATCAAATTGAATCTTTAAATAAGATAAAAAATAAGTACAAAAACTAATAATGATTGAGTAAATAGTGTATATTAGGGTGGAGTGATTTTGGAATAAAAACTATAACTTGTGAATTATTAAATTATCAAAAAATACAAATATATTGTAAAATGGATATGATAATAATGCTCGGAAAATGTTTATTTAACAGCAACATACTTTTATTGAAATATTTTTTAAAGAAAACTGTTATTTTATCAATTTTTTGATATTTTTTTAAAAACTGATGAAATTTCAGTCACTGCAGTTAAACTTAGAAATATGTCAAAACAGAACCAAGAATTCCATTAGAACTTTGTAGAAAATATCAAAACAGTAGGCAGATTGCCTTAGAACTTGGTGGAATATATAAAAACAAAAGACATGAAAGACTTAGAACTTAGTAGAGTAAAGTCTTCCACTATTTCAAAGAAACCTTTAAAAAAGAAGGAAATCTTTTTGAAAAAAACCTCAACAGAAGTTGATCAAGATGAGATTAGACATGAGTAAATCAAAAGAGCATACAACTATCTTTTGTTGATTTTGTATTGACATGTATTGAACAAAAATTTGCATAAAAATAAGAACACATCACATTGTGTAGATAAAACAATAACAAAATAAGAACACATCACATTGTGTAGATAAAACAATAACAAAATAAGAACACATCACATTGTGTAAAACAATGACAAAAATTTGCTTTATGTTTATTTTTTCAAGTTAAAAAGTTAATTAAAATTGTATAAAATATATTTAAACTTTTTTTTGTTTTTTTTTTATATATGACAGAATAATAGAGTCAGTATTTAGCAATGCCAATCTGATGTCTGAGGTCAAAAATCTTTTGCAGATCTTATTTCCAATTAATTTGGTGAAAAATTTAAAAAAAAATAAAACTTGATTTAATTGTATATCGGGTGCGTTTGGATATGGACTGAACTTCTCATCATAAAAAAAAAATGCAGACAAAGCATCACATTTGTAAACATATTTGCATAAATTTTGTAAAATTGTTTTAAAAGTTTTGTTAGGTTTTTCAAAAACTTTCATTAATTGATTAAAGTTTTAATTATGCTTTCATTTTTATCTTTTCCAATAATTGGTTAATATTTATCCATTGTAACTTATATTTATAATTTTATATGTTCAAACGGTTTAATTTAAAATGATATGTTCAAACAGTTTAGTTTAACATGATATGTTGTCATGGTTTAGTTTACATGATATGTTGTCATGGTTTAGTTTAACATAATATGTTGTCATGGTTTAGTTTAACATGATATGTTGTCATGGTTTAGTTTAACATGATATGTTCGAATGGTTTAATTTAACATAATATGTTCGAATGGTTTAATTTAAAATGATATGTTGAAAAATAGGGTGTAAATTTACTTTTAGATTTATTATTTCAAAAATTTGTTAATTATTTTCTAATCAAACCTTAGAAGATATGATTTAGCTTAGATAACTATAGATATAATAACTGCTATAAAGCCTAAATCTATTTGAAATCTATTTTAATGCTGAAATTTATTTACTCCAACAGTAGAGTTTGTTGATGATATGCATCAAACAACTCTTGTCAGAAAACAATGAAACTAATGCTGAAAAATGTCACATAATTTGACGAAGAACAAACTATTAAAACTATAAGGATAATTTTGTTCTCTTATAAATAATGAACATTGCCATCTGACTTTTTGTTGACAATTTATTCCCTATAATAAACTGTTTTTAAATTAAGGAAAAATAAATTTAGTTTAAATATTATTATTATATATATTAAAAATACATTTTCCATCATTAAAATATTTTCGCAACAACTTTCATGAGTTCGAGAGGGTGCGTCTTCTATAATTGCATACAAAATAAGTAGCAAAAACTTGAATACATTTATTTTGAATATTTGTCACTTAAGTTTTGGTAAAATTTGGTAGAAAATTAATAGAAAAAAATAAAAAAAAATAAAATTTTTAAAACACAAAATTTAATGCTGAATAACTTTTTTTAAATTTTATTCCAAATATACAATCATCTCATTTAAAAACAAATTTTTGCTTGAAATTAGACCAATTAGATCATTTTTGAATTTTTATATTAACTTAAGTTTTAAGAAGATAAGTATAGTGCATGCAAATGGCCAAAAATGAATAAATTCAAAAATTTATAATCTGGTATCAATTAGTTGATTCAAAACAATTAATTTAATTAGTTTACAACTAATATAAACTCATTGAAAAATATCTTTATTGACACATTTTTATATATTTTTCTAGACTTTGATTAAAGTTTTGTTTGTGTTTCATATTCATGTCTTTTTTTTTTTTCATTTTATATTAATTTTTGTATTTATAAGTATTTATATTTTATTATTATTTTTAAATAGTTTTGAAAATAATAATAAAGATAAGAAATATATCATTTGATAATATATAGCATTATAATATAAAACATAACAAATAAACAAAATTAAAATTTTAAAAATAATAACAATATTAAATAATTAAAATAGAATAACAAACAATAATAAGTGCAGTTTCAAAATAGCAAACCTTTACATTGATTAGAGTCTTTATGAAGAATAGCTTTAGTTGAGATTATGTTTCCATACCTAAAATTCAAAAAGAAGAAATTAAAAAAGATAACAAAAGTTTTTCTTGTTTTATGATATTTTTAATTAATACAGATTTTATTTAACAAAATATTTTTAAAACCATTAAATATATGAAAATAACATTTTTATTTTTAGACTATTTCACACATTTAAAAAGAATTACATTTTTATTACTTACATTCTGCACATATTTACAAGATCTTCATCTGTAGTGGACCCATGCAAACCTCTAATATAGAGGTTTGTTTTACTAATTTTATCTCCTGTTTCCGGATCATACGCATATACTGAAGGATCCATACAATTTGTGAAAATAGGTGATGTATACGACATATAGCCCTGTATTATTTAATATAAATAGATTTAAATATGTTTTCAGATATTACTTACAATGATGCAAACAAAAAAAAGTTTTCCAAACATTTCTTTGAACTTTATTATTATTTATATAATCACTACTATTTATTTATTATTTAATTAAATGACTTTAGAATATGCAACATTTTTTTTTTTTTTTCCTATAAGATTAAAATAGGTGCATTAATCTTTACTTAAAAAGATGGGTTTATATTTTTTTTTGCTTCATTATAGGAAAACATGTTTTTTAAAACAAAGTTATAAACAAACTTATGTTTCATTTTTTTAACAAACTCATTATTTATGATGGGAATTACAAAAAAGCAAAAAAATAAAACGACAAAAGAGTTAAAAAACTGTAAATTTATAAATCAGAAAAACATGAATATGATGATTGGTACTTGAGGAAAAAAACTAGATAAATGGTTTGGTAGATGAAATATGAGATAATAGCTCACTTAAGCAGTAACCATGGTAAAAAAAAGTAATCCAACTGTAAAAAATAGAACAGAGGCTTAAGTACAGAGGTTTAAGTTCAACAGATAGAGCAAGTCTGAATATATTAAGAATACGTTTTTGGATTCAAAAAGAAAAAAAGCATTATAGAAAAAAAATTAAGACAGAAATAGTTTTTTATTGAAAATTGGCCCTGATGCTAGAAGTCTTTATTGGGGTGTTATAGCTTACAAGACTTGACTTGAACATATATCCAATAGAAAAATCCAGATGGTTCAAAAAGAGCTAGGAGGCCGGAATTCTTTGAGTCAGTACTAAATAGTTATGAGAGCCATGTCTAAACAATCCATCCTGCAAACATGTCTAAACAATGCACCATGCAGGATGGTGCACCCTGTGTGTCAGGGTGCACCATCCTGCAAGAAAACAAAATTGTCACTACTCTTGAAGTTGCCACGTATCCAGGAAAGCAAATAAGGCTTAAAAAGGCGGTAGTGGTGTAGTGGTAGAGCGCTCGCTTTATAAACAAGTGGTTCCGGGTTCGATCCCCACCACGTCCCTGGTAGTACCACGCTCAACTTGTTTCTCCGCGCAGCCTTGTTCGTCAAGGTTCGTGTTTCGGAGTTATAGAGTTGAGAGAGGGATATAGCCACAAAATAAGTAGCCTCCTCGTCTGTAGTGGCCTTCTCGGCCTTGAGGAGGTGAATTAAAATTAAAAAAATCTTTTGCACCTATTCTGAAACCTGTTGGTAAATAAACAGAGGCATTTTGAAGCCTTTGGATGCTACCAGGCTAAATATTATCTAAGTAGGGTGTGTGATTGACTTAATGTTTTGATGTGATCAGGGACATCCTGAACACATAAGGTTAAAAAATACCTGTCAGTTCCAGTGTTTCAGACTGTATCCACTGTAAAATATTTTTCACCTGAAAACAGAATGATTGGATCTTTTTTCTTAAAAATCCAGAGAACCTACTTACTTCTTTTCAGCATATTGGCCTTCTGAGCTTACTACAGCTAATTAAAGTGGTTTAAATATTGTAATATTTGCGCTTTTACTTTCACTTTTTTTAGTATAGTATTAAGTAAAAACAATTACTAAAAGTAATATCGTAATAGTATTAAATATGTTACTTGCTCCTTACATTATTGCTCACTATAACAATTTAAACTTTAATTTACACTAATTTAAACTGCGCCAAACAGTAATTTACACTAATTTAAACTGCGCTAAACAAGAAAATTATTAAATAAGATTTAAATACGAGAGATATCATATTTAAAAAATAACAATACGAACTAATGTAGAAAAAATACTATATTTATACTAATGCAAATCCCCCCCCCCCACCTTACCAAAAGTGGCACCAGGATGAGGGAGGAAGGGTAAAAAAAAAATTTTATTTTTTGATTAGATTTTTTTGCGTTAGTAGGAGCCCTGCTGTTAATAATAATTTTATTCTGTTTACCAGATCCCTCTTTTCTTCTAACATTACCACATTCGAAATAGTGTTTTTTAACAGCAATATTTTTGAATATTTTTGTTCACTTTTGCTAAGATATCATTGCTAGATTAACCCTGAAAATCTTGGAAACTTATTATAACTTACCACCAAACCTATGATTTTTTTAAAGTTTGGTCCCAATTTTGCTGCTGCATATGGTAAGGTAGGATAAACTCTTTTGTCATGAATCTTGTATGATGCAATGAACCAGGAATACAAAATTTGAACTTTTTAAAAAACTACCAGCTAACTCTTGATAATCCATACTTGATTCAAAATTAAAGGACTTTAGTTTTTCATATTATGATCATATAAAACAAATTTTTTAAACTATTTTTGCCAAATAAGTAAAAAACTACAAAATATGTACTTAACTTTTTTTTTTAACTTTTTTAAAGAGTACTCTATTATCTCTGTAGAACTATTCCTCAAGATCTTGTTTATTTATCCAAGTTCCTGTTTCAGTTTGAAACCTCTTTAATGGGACTGCACCTTTTTCGAAATCATACCAGACTGATTTCAGGTGTTTAAAGTGATGGTTGTCTAGATCAGACAACCAGCACCAAGGTGATTGTTTGATCTAGATTGTCTGTGCTATTACTTATAATCCTTGGTGCTGGAAATTTCCAGCACCAAGGACAAGTAATAGCACTAAAGCATATACACTGCTTATATTGCAAGAGACTTTTAGTCTTATGAGACTTTTTTGGTCTTAGTCACTATAGTGACTAAGACCAAAAAAGTCTATTAGATTATAAACTGCTTTGAACTGCTTTCTTACAGCACCTGACTCAATACGATGAATGCCTAGTAGCTCAGTTTTCCTATTTACTCTCAATTGTACAGCTTGTGGTTTTCCCATTCACTTTCAATTGTACAGCTTGTGGTTTTAACATTTACTTTCAATTGTACAGCTTGTAGTTTTCCCATTCACTTTCAATAGTACAGCTTGTGGTTTTCCCATTCACTTTCAATTGTACAGCTTGTGGTTAAAACATCTTAAAATAATCTTTAAATAATTTTCAAAGTGAAGTAAAATCGTTGTGTATGTACAAGTGAAATCAGCTTATACATATACAACGAAATCAGAAATCCTGAAATAACCTTGTCTTTTTTCCTTCTTTATTTTTAAAAACATAATGTCCATACATTTAGTTTCATTATATCCTTTCATCAATTATGATTTCTATGTCATTTCCTACGCATACCAATAAAATTAAAATTGTCAATTTAGTTGAAGCTTGCCATCTCCATTTTTTTTTTGTTCTCAGTACAGTCTGTACAATGTTAGCTGCAATCTGCAGACTTGATAATTTATTTTATGCGTGTTTGATTCATAAAATTTCAATGTATGACATCATCATAGAATTTTTTTTTTTTCAAGATATTGTATTATTTTTTCTGCCACTATCATCAAATAATGTTTATTTGTATGACTTTTTACTAAATTCCAAAAAAATTTTGTGATTCTGACAATTAAAAATAAAATAATATATTTCATTTTTAGATTTTATAAGCTCAAATTGTTTTTAACAACCATCAGGAAGATTTTCAAATTATTGTGCTTTTTATATGGTTGTTTAGATTTTTTTAAATTGGTGTTATTTCTTATGACTTTTGTACCAGCATTAAAAATGTTATTTTTTTATAGAATATTATATTTCAGTTGACTAATGTCCTCCTGTTTGACTAATGTCCTCCTGTTTGACTAATGTCCTCCTGTTTGACTAATGTTCTCCTGTTTGACTAATGTCCTCCTGTTTGACTAATGTCCTCCTGTTTGACTAATGTCCTCCTGTTTGACTAATGTCCTCCTGTTTGACTAATATCCTCCTGTTTGACTAATGTCCTCCTGTTTGACTAATGTCCTCCTGTTTGACTAATGTTCTCCTGTTTGACTAATGTTCTCCTGTTTGACTAATGTCCTCCTATTTGACTAATGTTCTCCTGTTTGACTAATGTTCTCCTGTTTGACTAATGTCCTCCTGTTTGACTAATGTCCTCCTGTTTGACTAATGTCCTCCTGTTTGACTAATGTCCTCCTGTTTGACTAATGTTCTCCTGTTTGACTAATGTTCTCCTGTTTGACTAATGTCCTCCTGTTTGACTAATGTCCTCCTGTTTGACTAATGTTCTCCTGTTTGACTAATGTCCTCCTGTTTGACTAATGTCCTCCTGTTTGACTAATGTCCTCCTGCTTGACTAATGTCCTCCTGTTTGACTAATGTCTTCCTGTTTGACTAATGTCCTCCTGTTTGACTAATGTCCTCCTGTTTTGTGTGAGAGCTAAAAAAAGTTAAGATAAAATGTTAAATTAAATTTTTATGGTGAACTCCTACATAAAAAGTCGACTTTATTATATATTCTGGATTTTACTAATTTTTTTAAGCAATAAGATTTTTTTCTCTATTTATGTAGACTGTTCGAATCGCTTATTAGGGATATTTGACAAATTGTTGTCTCTATATAAAGTTCGCAACTAGAACAAGTAGGTCTAGTTACTAGTGGAATATATTCAGCTGTAAACAACTAATTGAATGTTTTAATGCTTATTCCTAGAAACTCCCATTGGAGTAAAAAACAAGCAATTTTAAAAAAATTTATATCACTTTTAAACAGCCTCCCTAATTTACTTCTGTTCTTAAAAAAATGTATCCGCCCTTGCACTGATTTTGAAATTTCGGAATTAATTCTTTTTGTAATTTGTTCCTTTGACATGTCGAAACATTAACCATCAAAATGTAAAGAACATATTCTTGAACTCTTGTTACAGTTATACATACCAATTGCCTTTTTCCTTAAAGCTGCAGCTATTGAATCTGAAGGTAACCAATGAAAGGATATATGAGAACAGGATGTGTTTGCATTACTACCGAAATTGACAAATGCATGTTTTGAAATGAACATTTTCAACATTAAAAACTCAATTTTGAAAATTGACAAACGTGTTATGCTACACGACTTTTCTATATTCATCCAAATAAAAATTTACATATTTTTATGTAAAAATCTTGATAAAGAATTATTGTTTAAAACAAGTTGCGTTACTCAAATATCAAAACCATATATATTATTTTATTTTTATTGTAATTAAATCACAAAATGATTTTTAATTGTAATTAAATCGCAAATTTTTTTTGGATTTAGTAAAAACTTATACATAAAAACATGATTTGGTGATTGTGGCAGAAAAAATATTATATCTTAAAAAAAAAAAAACTCTGTAATGATGTCATATACCGAAACTGTAATGAATCAAACACGCATGAAATAAATTCTGGAGATTGCAACTAACATTATATAGAATCGAAAAACCAAGAAAAAATGGAGACAGCGAGCTTAAAACAAAAATTTCAATTTTACTGATATGCATTAATTATTTAGTTTTACTCACAAAAAAATTTAGCTTAAACGTTTTTATTAAACATTTACTTTAATATGTACACAACTTGTGTCTGCACATGGGGACCCCTTTAAGGGATTTAAACAGAAACTAAAATACTGGTGAGTCACCTGTGCTTTTATAATTCTATAAATACTTTTTATAGTTCAAAAATGTTATAAAAAGTTCTGGAAACTTCTTGAAAGTTCTAAATGTTTCCTAAAAGTTCTAAAATTTTTGGAAAATTTTTAGATTATCTGGACAGTTCTAGTAGTTGTAGAATATTTAAAAAAAAAACAGAATCCGATATTAAAAACTTTAACAGAATATAATCATTCTGAAAAAAAAAAAACTTAAAACTTTTGTCTTGGTCAAAAAAACAAACTACTTTCACAGACTAAATTTTTCTCACAAATTTGTTTCAAATATTTTTTATAAAAATTTTAAAATTTTTTCCAACACAAAACTGTTGCTAGGAATATAAGAGAACTAAGGAAAATAAATAAAAAGAAACAGCCATAAGAAAACATTTTCATGTCCTATGAACACAAGAAAACCATTAAAAGAAAATCAAATGAATAAAAACATGTCTTAAACATATAAAAAAAATGCTTACAAAAATGCAAAATAATTTACTTACTGGGTGGTACCTAAAAAGCATAGGGTCTATAGGATGCTGATTACCAAAGTAATAATTTGACCAGTTCAGAGGCCAAGGATACCCTACTGGAGTTGGAACAAGTCCAGGTCTCAATTCTCTTTGATACGACAATGCCTGAGCATTTGAATATCGAATCTGTCAAACAAAATTACTGAAAAATAGCTCAAAAAACTTCAGGTCTAAAGTCTTTTATAATAAAAAAAATATATATATATATATTCTAGAGTAGAATGAAAAATTATTAAATAAAAAAAAGCATTTCTAAATATATAGAAATGCTTATGCTACTTCTGTTCTCAAATAAATCAAATCTTAATCCCATACCTTAAAACCCTACCTACCTAAAAGATTTAATTGGAGTGACTATTTCTCACCTTAAGAAACTTGTCTATTTGAAAAAAAATTTAAATTTTAAAAATACTATTAAGTCAAAATAAAACTTTGAATAGAACATATTACTCAAATAAACAGTGACAGCTACTATGAAAAATATTATCATTATGAGTTTGATAATGGCTCTGGCTATATAAGCCAAAATAACACATAAAAAAAGAAATAAATAGCATGATACCATATATCATGTTTTAATGCTTATATTATTATTACACATACTATGACACTTTAATTTCATATATATAAAAATGTATATATATATATATATATATATATATATATATATATATATATATATATATATATATATATATATATACATATATATATATATATATATATATATATATATATATATATATATATATATATCTGTGTGTGTGTATATATATATATATATATATATATATATATATATATATATATATATATATATATATATATATATATATATATATATATATATATATGTATATATATTACATATATATATATACTACATCAAATAATACTGAATTTGAAAAATTTTTGAATAAAAAAATATTATTAGAAGGTGTTACAACACAAACACAAACAAACTTGCTGACTTGGCACTATCCTAATATAATTTGCAGAAGTTTTAAAATTTAGACTATTTTTTTGACATAATAGACTCATATCTAGACAGTACCTGACCACACCCTCATTCAATGTACTAAAACCCTTTCATTATGATGTCATTAATGTTGTTTCATTCAAAGTTAGGTATGCAAAGAAATTTTTGAAAAATAATAGAGCTAGAGCAGGAAATCTTTTTATTAAAAAAAAAAAGTTTTCAAATTATTTTTTTATGTCAACAGATTGTGGAAAAACTTATTCCCAGCTACCATTGTGCAATCTTCTATTGTCTGGTTCATCTTCAACTGTCGATCAGTGAATATCACTGTCAATATGCTGAAAATGCATTCCGCAGACGAATTAGAGCAAGATATACACATAATAAGTTCAACAAGAAGAAGCAGGTTTGGGAACTTTTTTTCATAATATAAAGACTTTTTTTACCATAGTTACAAGGCTGTGATTGTTTCATACTCCGCTTTTATTATGACCTTTGCAGCTTTCCATTCAGACAGAACCATTGTAACACTCAACCTAGCAGCTTCTAGAGGAACTTTGAATTCACTTAGCAGTAAAGAGATGCTGACATCACCATACATCTTGCCTTCTGTCCAAAATTGTAGATCTAACCAAGCCATTGATTCAAATATTGGGTTCAACAGTGAACCAAATCTATTGTCTATCAATGGCAGAATGACATTGACTGCAGATTTCATTACTTGGATACCAAAATTAATGCTAAATAAAACTAATGCTATCAATATTAAGATTATCGATATTGTCAAGCTCAATCTAAACAAATTCTTGATTTGTTTTTTCAACTCATTACCATCTTTGAGATATAAAACAACAAAAGTAGTTGAACTATTTTTTTCCTTTCTTTTAAACTTAAATAAATATGAATCAAGAATATCGTAGATTTCATCATTTCTTAAAGTAAGCTAGTCTTAGTAAGATCCACTTCAACTCATACACCATTAATATATTTTTTTCAAAAACCAACAATAATGGACTCAATTTCTTCATTTGAATTAATAATCCATTGCAAATGCCGAAATCGATGCAAGCACCATCAGCAGTAACGCTGATAAGTTTGTTTTTGTATGCTTCTGCAGTTGGAGAAATATTCCTGATTTCACTAAAAACGCTGTCAATAGCTTTTTTAATGGGATTAGCACCTGCACCACTTAAATTGTCCATCTCAAGTAAAGTTACAACAGAATAGGCTGGGATCTCCTTTCGTTTGACACATACAAGAACTAACTTTTTCTGATCATTTGTTTTTATTAGCTTGAGAACTATTGGAAAGAATGGAGAAGTTTTTTTGTTGACAATTTCAGCAACTTTTTTTTGAGATAAACTTGTGTGCATAAAATAATTTAAGAAAATAATTTAGAAACTAAATTATAAAGGAAAGTTAATTTTAATATTGTCAATGTTATTAGTGAATATTAAGTAAAACCCCGAAATTTAATAACCTGCTTTATTGTTGCTTTTTCCTTCTAAAAGAAATTCCAAAACATCAAATTCCAAAGAATTAAACACCTTTAATTCTTTGGAATTTGATGAGTACTTCAAAATGGTTATGGGGCATGTTAAGTTTTAGTGCCATTTCATAGGCTGTTTTTATCATCTTAGATAGCCCTTCACACTTTTTTGATGTATTAGTTAAAGAGTTTCTGGTATCAGGGAAAATAAAATTTCCCTTTCCTCAGCCATTTTCAGTTTCTTCAGGGTTTCCATTCTCAAATAGTCCCACTAATTTATGATTATGATTCTCTAGATGACGGTCAACCTTAATTAAAATTTAAAATTTTATATTAAACTTTTTAGAATTCAAGTTGTTTGAATAGGAATATAGTTGCACATAAAAAGATACTCTGTTTATTTGCATTCATAAAGAGATCTTGAAAAACCAATCAAATGTTATCAGCAAAAAAGTAGTTTAAAATATATCCTGGTATCACAAATTCAAATTAAACATAATTTTAGTTTTTACCTGATGTTCAGTTACTACACAAGTTTCCTCTGTAAACCCTTTCAAAGAATTAATGCTATTTTAACTGAAGGATCGCTTAAAATAGCTATCTTGCACCATTTTTTAAACAACTGATTCATTTGCTTCTATGTACCTGTTTATTGTTTCTTTACCCACGAAAGAAAAGTTTTAAAATTCTTAGATATTGGTTTATTAACATTCATTGTGTTTGCAGAAGATGCCATTTTTAAAAAATCTTTATACTTAAACTTACTTTTTCTTCTGCATATAACTTTTTGTACTTTAAATAACTAATAAGAAATAAAAAATGAAAAAACCCATGCACTGAACAATAAGGGTATTGTGATGGAGTTCCGCTTCCTAACCCACAAAATAAATATTATTAGGGGTTATGAAAAGCTGCTGGTTTAGTTGAAATATTTTGATGCAATTAAAATATGTTAAATAAATAAATTTTTATGATTGATAAACAAAAATAATAGTAATAATATATAAAACTAATTTGAAAATTGAAAACTTTCTAAAAAAAAGTTCATATAAAAATACTCTAGCCCAAAACACATACCAACCTCAGTGCTCGCATCAGAGCTGTGGCTAGGCTCCCTCGCACCCCCCCCCAGCAAATTTAGGGAGCCCATTTGCAAATTTAGGAGCCCTTTTGCAATTTTAAGGAGTTTTTTTTTTTTTTTTTTTAGTAACACCTAATGTAAAAATTTTAACGATTTTAGGGCCCTCATGACAATTTTTTTTTTAAATGGGGAGGGGGGGGGGCTTAGACCTAGTACTCACGACATTATCACATCATTTTTGATAAGTTTTAAGTGTGTAAATTGAAATATTTAAAATTTTATTGCATTATAATTTTTTTACCGTATTATTTGTACTAAATTTTGTTTTTTATTAAAAGATGTAAGTTTTTTTCTATTTAAAAGAGATCGCCTAATATTATAAAAACATTAGAAAAGATGAAAGTTTTAAAGTTTATTCAACCTTAACGTAAATATAAACATAATTAAAAATAATTTTCTATCAAAGTTTTCAGTGTAAGATTAGTTGAGTATTTTTTTTTTTAACTGTAGTTTTAAATTTTTTTTCTTTTTTTACTTTCTTCTTCTTTAAGAATTCTTTCATTTTTTATAGTTTAAGTTCTTTATAATTTTCTTTCTTTAGTCAGGTTTTTTCTGTGCAATTTTAAACATCTAAAAACCTGATGTCAAGCTTTCAAAAAAATAATGGCAAGCGTGGTCAGAAACTGAGTGCCATTGTACGCCTTTCATGTCCACGACATGAAAGGCGTCACAAGCTTACTTCCCTGGTCCTAAAATTAGATTTCTTATGAAACATGATGGTTTTCCTGGCACGATAAAATATTTATAGTGTGCAGCTTGGTTTGTGCTGTTGCTAGACACATCCTCTGAAAGAAATATAACAGAAGACTGGAAACAAAAAGAAGACCTATTAATGTATAGCTTTCAAGCTATTGGTTGTCCAAATGTAAGCAACAAAATGCATTTATTATTTAAGCATAAGAACAAATATGAGCCATATCTAGGAATTTTTTCAGATGAACATGGGGAAAGAGTACACAAAGAAATTCAAGTCATTAAAAAGCATTTCGATCACTGCTTTAAAAAAAAAAGTGCTTGCTGAATATATATGATCTTTAAAAAAGGGACAACAACAAGTACTGCAAATGTTAAAAAATTGTGTTTTGTATTTTATTTTCAATATTTTTACAATTTGTGTTAAATATATTGTTTCTTGGATATTTGTCATACTTTTTATATATGTTTGTCAATAAATTACATCAAGTTACAGGGGAGGGGGGAGCAGTTAATGGTTTTGTGAGGACTCATACAAAACTTATTATTAAAGAGTTACGATGATGTGACAAGGCGGGGAGGGGTCTAAAACAATCAAAAATTGTGTGGCATAATTTGAAGACAACCTTATGATGGGTCTATAGTGATTTTAACAAGCGATATTTAAAAAATGGCACAACAGATTTTGCTGGACATTTTCCTTAGTTTCAAATGTACTACCTGTATGTTAAAAATGATAAAGAGTGCAAGAAATTCATTTTTTTTTTTTTATAACACCAGTGTAACAGAAAGAATTTTTTTCAGTGAGTAATTTGTTAATGTCACTTTTGCATTCTAAAATCACTGTTGCTCCATCACATGTATGGTAAATAAATAATCATTTAAGCATTTTTCTGCCATCCATAAAGTCATATTGCCAAAAATAAATTGATTGGTAAATTCATTTTTCTTATTTTATTACTTATATGATTGATAATATTAATGCAAGTAATTGTAAAATTAAGAATGTGTGATCCATTTAACTGCTCCTTTGCAATGACATCATGAATGGAGGAGGTGCTTTTTAACGGTAAAAGTAAAAAATTAGAAGAATGAAGGTAAGGAAAATCAAAAAATATTAAAAAAAAAAAAAAAAAAAAAACAGCAACAAACAATATAAAAACAAGATCAAACAATAAAAGTAGATAAAATGACTGAGGAGAAAAAGAACAGAAAAACAAACAAAAACTACCATTATTTAGATACAAAATTAAAAGTTTAAAAATGTTCGAAAATGGAACATAATAATAAAAAAGAACAACGAATTTTACTGCCAATGAAAAAAGAATAAAAAAGAACGTTTTTTTAACTTTATTTTTTTAAATTATTTTCTTTCACTGTTCATACTGTAATGCATTTTTGTGCTTACTTTAAATTGTTTTGTATTTTTGTATGTTGTTTATTTTATAATGTAATTTTGTGCGCTGTTTACATTGTTTATTTTTTTTTATTTTTTATTTTTTGTTGTTTTTTGTTTTTGGATTCTTGTGTATTATTCATTTCACAATGAATATTTTATATTGTTATATGTTTTAGTGCGTTGTTTGCATTGGTATGTATTTTTTATTGGTATGCATCATTTTATATACGTTTAATGTAGCCAACTTTGTATAGTTAGCTATTGTGCTTATATAAACAAGTGTCTTCCTATTTTTATTATTATTTTTATTTTTATTATTATTACTATTATTATTGTTATTGCTTTTGTTGTTTTATTATTGTTGTAGTTTTTATGTTTATTACTATAAATAATATTTTTATAATTATCATTACTATTTTATAATCATTGTTAATTGTATATATAAAGACCTGTATTTTTGGTGTTTACTTAAGATTAGTAAAATTACTATTTGTAAATACCCATGAAAATATTTTTCAGAATATATGATTGATTGATTGATTGATTAAACTCCATTTAATTTTTTTAGAACAACTACCATTTCAAAGTTATTAAAGGTTAAACTTTGTTTAACAACTTTATATGCAATTAGAAATGTTTGCTGTTACAATTTGTCTGTCTATTTTACAATTTGTTTCTGTTACAGTCTCTTTTAGTTTCTGCAACCATCTTTATTGCAGCTTGATGTTCAACAGATTCTTTGTGATAAAAAAAAAAAGCATTTACACAGTAGTAAAACAGATAGTGAAGAAAGTTAAAGTGGAATAATGATGGCTATTCTTTTATAAATATGATACCTCAGAACAACAACAAAAAAAGCAATAAAAAATTCTGATTCTGTGCATGTAAACTTCATTGATCATATTTCATATTTAACACTTTTTTTTTTTCATTTATTTGAGTTGACTGCAAAAAATCTTTCATAATATGGACTACACAATTTTTAATACTAATATATATAGTAAAATAATAATATTAATATATAAAATATATATTTTATAAATACAAATATTTTCTCTAAAGTAAGTTTCTCTAACTTCATCTAAAAGTTCTCCGAATTTTTCAAAATTCTATTCAGTCCTTATATTAATATAAAAACTTTATACAAATTCAAAATAAGTGTCTCTGAATAGATTTTGTTTAACTAAAAATTAAAAAAATAAAAAAATTGTATTATTATTTTTTTTTTTTCAAGACTGTTATCCTTCCCTTCAACAGAGCATAACAAAAACAATAAACCAAAAATATTAATACTAATAATAGTAATATTAATAACAACATTATTAATTGTAATAATAAAAACAGTTATAATTACTATTAACAATAAAAATATTATTAGTAATTTAAAATGTGTACTTACTTGTTTTTTATCGACTACAGGTTTTGTCTTATCCCCATTGTTAATAGGTTCACGTTTTTGTTGGGGATTTGGAGACTAAAAATATATTAAACTTATTGTAGAATATTTAAACATCAAACTAATTTCATATCTATATTAAATACTATAGTTATTATTTACAAAAGACATCTTCTTGAAAAAGTGACTTTTCTACCCTTTTTTTCTCTATGTCCCAATATGCCCTTATAAAATAGATTCTTCCTTTTGTAACCCATAACATACTACTATTAAAACATACAATTTTATTATCATAACAAAATTATATAGCTAGTATGTTTATAATATATTTTTACATGTATTACACATATCTTAACTTATTTCCTATACTTTGATTTTAAAATGTATGATCTTGAAGCTTTAAACTTGAAGCTCAAGTTAAATAATGTAAAATTACATAAAAGTTTAATGAAAAGATAAATTACAACTGCAGTGGCATGTTCAAACCAATTAGACACCCTTCTTTTTAATCAAAAAAACAGAGATTCTTTATGAAAGACCCTTTGTTAAACCTTTTTACAGTTAATTTTACCAGCTTAAAATTATTTCATTTAACTTGCAAACTTTTAAAATTTGGAATTTACCTTTTTTATTCTGACATGGTACTTTGTTAAACATGTCAATGGTTGCAACTATAGCTTGAAAATCTTTGGTTTAAAATTTGAACTGAAACTAATACATTTTATTGACACATACTAATAATGTGTTATTATATGTAATATTATTACAGGTGTTTTAACAAAAGTGCTTCTAAATTATGAGCACTTTTATTGGGACACTTGTAATTATTAATTTGTAATACTATATTATATCATTATGCAGAAATGACAGGTAGGATGGGTCATTCGTACTTATACTTTAGTAACAAGGACAACAAAGTTTGTTATATTTATTGAGTATATTTTGTATATTATTTTGGTATATTTATACATTTTATGTAAAAAAAAAAAAAGGTGATTTTAAAACATTAAGTAAGGACTTGTTGAAAATTAATTACCTAAAACCAGAAACTAAAATTTTTGATCGCTGTGTTAATTTCCAATGAGAAATGATAATTTTCAATGAGAAATGAATATTTAGAGTAACTTAAATAGAAAGACAGAAAATTAATAAATTAAATTTGCCACAAGGATTGCAAGATTAAAAAGTAGTTTGTATTAATCTACAATTTACAAACTTCCTTTTTAAAAAGAAGTTTGTAAATTGTAGATTAATACAGATTTAGTTCAAGCACTGGGTATTAATGCATTATTAAACTCTAATATTGACAGTGTCTAGGATCTGCGTCTTAATTTCAAAAAACAAAAATTTTTAATTTTCACTTTTTAGCAAGACAACACGAGAAAAAAAAAGAATGAGTTGCACAAGACTATTTTAGAACTTGAAACCATTATGGATGGAGAAAAACATTGAACAAAACCCATTATATCACGTTTCGTTTTGTGTTTTTATGCCATAAAATATTGAAAATACTAAACAAGACCAGTTTTGTTTAATATTTAACCCCATTCAAGATGGAAGCTAATTTTGTGATGCAGTTGTGACCCCAAGGATAGCTACAACTTAAGGCGGACTTAGGGCTTGTCCATTAATTGTCAACAATATTTTGGGAATTTCTACCTCCCCTCCTCTTTGTTAACAACTTGTCAAACAACCAGAACCCCTTACCAAAAAAATAAGTACACATCCTAAAAACACATCCTTTTTTTATAAAAGAGGCATCCTTAAAGTGCGTATGCAGTAAAACCACTGATTTAGGACACTCCTTCGCACCTTGACGCACTGTATGCTTTTAACGACCCTTTGGGTGCATTTTTTTTTACAAAATCAACTTGTATATAAAGTTTACAACGAGAATAAGTAGTTCTAGTAGAACCTATTTTAGCCATAAATTCCTGAGAACTGATTTATTGTATTAGAAAATGTGTTAGTGTAATAGTTTTATTAAAATTTACACATTTTTTGATTATTATAGCGCGCAGCCGGGCAGCGCCGCCGAGAGGGGGGGTCGCGAGAGCCGGGCGGCAGATATCCAAGGGGCGCCAAATGAAATGTAGGTACCTTAAAAAAAAAAAGGTCCTTCATATATAATATAGGAAATATATAAAATAGCTCACGACGGCCCTGCAGCCGGGACAAAATTCAAGGCACTTTCTCGTTTTATATTTATGTTTAAAGTTATTCATGCTGTGTTTAATTTATACTTAGTTTATTTAGTTTAATGCAATTCTTTGTTTTATTTTTATATTGTAATTGGCTTATGTATATTTTAGTACAGATATTTTTTTTTTTTTTTTAACTTATACGATTGTTAGTAAAACAATTCATTTTGTATTTAGCTTTTACTTAGTACAATTTACATGGTTTAGTAAAGTCACTCGTTTTATATTCTGTATATATTTAAATAAATATATGCTAAATACTAAAAGAATAATTTAGTAAAATTATTCTTTTAATATTTAGTTTATAACAATACGATTTACTGAAATATTTGTTGTATATTAAATTTATATTTAGTTTAAACTATACGGTTCCCTTATCTTAACGTATAACTTTTCAAAACATTAAAAACAATTTTTTTTTTTAGTTTAACTCCACATTTATTATTTATATTATATTTATACATTTATATTTCTCTGTTACATAACATAATATTGACTTTTAAACTCGCGAAATTTAACGCTTTTGTTAAAAAGTGATTTAATTTTAGGAGCGACAAAGAATAAGAGATACTCAAACACCAAAAAATTCCAATCACTCACTCCCCACCACCACCCCTCACACCCATCCCTCCTTACTCCACGCACGCATTCGTAAGTTTTTGTATTACTACCCTCCCCTATACCTGCTGAAGTACTTTATGGAAGACCCCAAATTTTAAATTTTTTGTTTTCTTTTGCGTTTCTCTCAAAAATATGTTCCTAAAAGCTTGATAATTTGCCATTTATGAACTAGACTTGGTACTGTTTTGTATATATATATATATATATATATATATATATATATATATATATATATATATATATATATATATATATACAAAATTTTGTTTAAATGCTATTTTGTCCTAAATGCTACAGATTTGAACCCAAATATTTTTACAATTTGTTATGAAGATAAAAAATGCATATTTGAAATCAAAATGAGAAAATATGAAAAATGCATTGTTTGCTAGAAAGCAAAAATAAAATTTTTTTGTTGTAATGAAACTTTTTTTTTAAGTGCAACATAAAAAATTTATATAATTTTAATTAAAAAAAGTTAAGCTTTCCGTAAAGAAATCTATATTTTTTAATATATCAGAGGGTGCTTTTTTTTATTGGGGCTTAGGTTCAAAAATGGCCCAAACAAAATTGCGTTCTCAGTTTTATCATATGCATTTTTAATTTTTACTGTCTTGATATCTTATTTATTCTAGTTGGTAAAAAAAAAACATAATTTACCGGTAAATATCGATAAAACGGGTAAAAAAAAAACATAGAAGTTTATATTAAAATTTTTTTGTTTCCAAATGCAGGGTTGAGATCCCCTGCATTGAACAAAAGTTCAAGATTGCCTGTTCTTTTTCCAGTAGCTTCATAGTCCTTTGAATTGTGGCAATTTTTTTTAGCCAAAGACTGAATTGCTTCCTCGAGTTTATTTTTAAGTGAAAGTAGATCTTTTTCAAGATTTTCTAAATAACACATTTCTTAAATGAATTCTAAGTCATCTAGATTAAAAATTTCCTGTTCTTCAATACTGTATAAACCTTCTGGATTTGAAAGTTAACTTTATGCAAGCTTACAAGATTGCTCTTCTTTGTTCAAAACAACAAAGAAGATTTTCTGTGGCAATTTGAAAATTTTATATTCTTCAATACCGTATAAATATTCTGGATTTGGAAGCTCAAGCTATACAAGCTTACAAGATTGCTCTGCTTTCTTCGTTCAAAACGTCTTAAAATTGTACTTTTCATTACAATGCAAAGAGGTGAACCTGGTTATTTTAACCTGTTTACAAAAAATTTTAAAATTCCATCAACACTGGATAAAATTTTTAACTATTGAAATCGCAGCAGCATTTTTAGCCAACAGAGATCCAGAAACTTGAGTCGAGCCCATATTCCAGTATGTGTTTTTTTGATGAATATTAATTGTTATATTATTATCATATGATTGTATAATTATTATATTAATTATTATATTATATATATTAATACGATTCATCTACTTTTAATTTTCTAAAGGTAATTATTTAGTGTAATTGAAAAGCTTTTTCAAATAATCACTAATAAATGAAAAGTGTTTTTACGGTTATTACTCACCCTAGCTGCAAATTTTTAACTGACTGGATTGCTTGCTTGTAATTTTTTGGAAAATCATAACTTTTTTTACATTTTGCATAACGAATGAAAAAGCTGTTAGCATTGGCAAGAAAACTAAATCCATCCATTGCTGTAAGTCTTGAAATCAGTTCTTTTGGTTGCTTTGGTCTCAATTGATTGCTTTGGTCTTAATTGGTTACTTCTGGAAAAAATATAAAATAGGCTTTTGAGTTAGGCTTTTAGTTGCAGCTTTTGTTGTCAATTTTTCTCGTGTTAGTTATTATAGTAAAAATTTATATATACCAACCGGTAAGTTGGGAAAAAATATATAAAATCGGTAAACAAATTTGCAGTAGTCAGAAAAATTCTTTATTATGTATTAACATTTTAATAAAAATCATAACATATTTCTCACCCTAGAGAAAGCAGATTCAAGCCAAAAAAAATGTCTCAGAGTCATGAAATCTTTTTCTGGAACCGTACTGATGTTCAAGATGGTTCAAGAAAAAAAAAATCCGTTTTTGTAAAAACACAAAATTCCAGTATTTTCACGTGTGCATTTTATTCAATCATGAGTTATTCCAAGATTATTATATATCTTGAAAACTTTTAAACTCTCAAAATATTCACAATAGACAGAGCTTTTATTTAATTCGTAGAATTTTCTCACATCAATAATCAGTGGCGATTTTACAAGGAGAGTGGGTGTGACCCCAAAAATACACATACGAATATA